TGTGAAGACGCTTGGTAGTTCTTAGATAAACAGTTCAGATCTTAATTAACATTTATAGTGTGAAGAACTAAAGGTTTGGATTGATCTTTTTGACTGTATTTGGCATATATTTAGCTTCCACCAGATAATTACGACGTAGTTTCAGACACTTGCTGTAGTATATCACAAAGCGGATTACGCGTTTGGATTACTTGAACTCAATGAATATTGTGTTGTGAAATCACCTGATGTATCATGAATCTTAGTAAAGTAGCTGGAAAAAGTATTATGTTCAAATAGGCCAGGTACGTCGGTGTCAGATTGCTCCTCAGTCTACAGGTGGTTAATTTGGATTTGCCCAACCTTCCTAACCGTTCATTGTAAAATAACTAAGCAGATGTCCTGTAAACTTACCAGTGGACTGTAGACATTCATGGAGTTGCATTCAAGACAAGGGTTTGTGACCTCCACAGGGGGCTTTTATTTTGACCATGCCGGTGTTTAATAAAGCATATTGAATAGATTGTTTATCTAATTTCTATCCAGATTATGGTTTAGGACAAACAACTCTCATATCACAGTACCATTCAGAATTAAGAGTTTAATTTCCATTAGTATGTAACATACTCGTATTGATATGAACTGTCACACACATTGAGTATCTTTTCCGAAGATATTTGTTGGGTGCTCAAACGCGTTTGTTTGATTATAACAGGTCGATTGTTTAATCGAAAAGTAGAAGGAGCATAATGTTAGTCCTAGGATACAGAAAATGTACAATTGTTTTCACACAAATATTGGTGAGACTAATTTACACACAATGACCCTAAGGTTACCTAATGATAGCCCACATACTCCTGTTGCACATCGTGAAGCAGCATAGACCGCCCACCAGTATTCCCCACCGAACTTTGTTCTGGGCGGTCCTTTCCAGCTGTTACTTATCGTTTTGATTTCTACCCCCAACTCCCGACCTAGTGTAATCTTTTTTCTTTTACTTTCCGGATTCCAAGTTAACGCTCTTTTCGTTACACAGTTTCATTTCCTTATTGTTTGCCCTATCGATTTCCAGCGTCTTTTTCTAACTTCCTCTTCAGGTGTAAGCTGGTTTGTTTTCTCCCGCAAAAAATTGTTGCTGATGATATCCGGTCAACAACAGGGAAGAGTAAGCAGCCTTTTCTGACACTAGTCCTGACTTGGAATGCTGTCAGCTGTCTTCCATGTACAACTTTTCAGAGTAGTCCGTCCTATGAATTCTGGATGATATTGACGATTTCGTCAGGTACACCATAGTGTCGAAGATTGTTCCGTAGAGTCCTCCTATCCTAACTGTCAAGTGCTCCTCATAGTCCTTACGGGATCCACTCTGTTGATCTCAAAGCTTGGCGTCTACTGAATCTCCCATCCTGCTTAACAACACTGTTGAAAACTTTTCCCGTTACCGATAGTAGTGTGATGCCTCTTTAGGTTTCATATTCGCTCATGTCTCCCTTCTTTGGTATCTTGGTGAGGTATGCTTCTTTTGAGTCTGTCAGTGGCACTTGTTCTTCCTCCCAAATCTTTCTAAATGAAACGTGGAGCATGTTTGTAGTTACTTCGATGTCTGAATTCAGTATTTCAGATGGTATATTGTCAAGTGCTACTGCTTTCTCACTCTGATTTGTCTGATGGCCATGTTGATTTCTCCGATCGTTGGTGGAATGATAGCTGTAGGAAGGTCTTTGTGTACTCTTAGATGTTCCGTGAGTTCAGTGGAGCTGGCCTATCCGAGAGTTCCTCGAAGTATTCTACCCATCTGTCAACTTTTCCGCTCTGCTAGCTATGATTTCTCATGAAAATCCAAACAAAATTAACGCTTACATGATAAATGGCTGATCATATCTACCTTCTAAGTTTATTCCCCTTCTTTCTGCCAGTACTACCTTAGTCTTTTAGATTTGTACCTAGTCTCCTCACTCTTTGATTCGATACTGTTAAAACGCAGTTTCTTCACTTTTATATATGGTTGTCTATCTCCACTTGATTGTGTGCTCACTCATTTGACTTTGTGTTTAGAAATTATTTTTTAAAATATACACTGAGTAGTTGAAATGCTATTATTTACGACCTAGGAAACTCTTGGGGTCGGTAAATAGACCTAGATCAGAAAAAACCAACTAATACTTTTGCGATTTGTGTAGAGGCTCTAAAAATCGAATACTGACAATATGGATAAATGATAAACCTGTTGTTTTAGTGTTTCATGTTCACAAGGTTTTTCTCATTTTAGTAGATCTCTGCTCATTTTTGGATTGCAGTATCATTTAATGGGTCATTTACTGGTATGAAAGTGACGAAAATTCAGATAAATAGATTACCAATATGTAGGTCACATAAGATGCGGCTTCCTCATTTACCTTTTGCCCACTGTATCACTCAGTGAAGTTATAAACCAGAGGGGATAACACAAAATTATTAGTTGGTAAGAATGCTTGATACCTTCAAAAGAAATTCAACATTCTTCTTAGAACCAAAACGGTTAGTCGTGGATACTCTGGATTTCTATTCTCTTTTAATAACTGTAATTTTAAGGTTACTTATTTTTGCCATCGTTGAAATTTAAAGATCTCATTCAAAATCCTTTTCTAATACAATTCATTCTTTGAAAATTTTCACTTTTTCTTTCACTCGACATAATGTTTGAAAAATATAAAGCTCGATCCTGGGTTAACCTAATCTTACGTGTATTCCGAGTGGCTGAATTGTTATGATAGAGAAGTTTAAGGTTTAGTTAAATTGAAATTATGTACTGTTTATTCATTCATTTGCCATTGAAATACTCAGTGTGGTAAAGCACTGAAGACTAAGCCTCATAGGTTTTTTTTATTTCTAATGGTCATGAATGGTGAAAAAGCTGTGATGCAACTTTATTGCCCAAACCGAAGCAGTTAATATTCTTAGAGTCGTGCTATCTAGCGTTGTGCTAGGTCAGTGGTCTAGTGGTTAATAAGTTCTACGTTGAGCTACTAAATACCGGGTTCAAACTTCTCCCACCTACCTCGGTTTAGGGAACCGGGTAGTTTCATTAGCTCTCACTTGGAGAGTGACTCATTCTCAATTACCTATAGAATGGGAGTGCAGACACCAGGCGAGACATTCCTATGCTAGTCGACGACTGAAGTAGCTTTACATGTCATTTATAGTAACTTGGGTCATTACAAATCCGTGGTTGTTCCTTCGATAATGGTGACTGATTAACTTGTATGACACTCGGTTCAAGTCACAGACTAATCTGTATTTTTATCGGACTTATTTATTCAGTTGAAACATGACAATCAGACCATAAAAATGTATGTTAACAACTATAACGTAGTAATCGTCATCTGGTGCTCATTTTCCAATGCGCTCCTAGTCCGATTATGTAGTTATTTCATCTGTTTATGCACAAACATTTTTGTGATAGTTAAGAAATATAAATTATTTAGCTTTAACTCGGAAAGTGTTAACTAAACAACATATTTACACCAATAAAACGGATTGCAAGTTGATGGTTTAGGGGCTATGTGATGGTTACTCTAGCGCTACAAATTGAGTCAGTGTTTTTCCAATGGAATTGTAAGTCTTTTGCCTGTAGCATCACTGTTTGTTTAGAATTTATTCTTAATTGTTTAATCCCACTTGTAAAGCGGTGACTTGGTAGGAAAACTGCCTTTAACCCCTTCTACACTTTCTGTAGCTTTGAAAATGAGACGTCTCTAGCTTTCAAGCAGACGCTTGGCTCATACTTAAGTTTAGTTAAGTAATGTAGCTCAATGGAGGACGTGTCCATGTACTCAAATTTTATGCACAAAAAGTAATAGTCGGTATGTTATGTCTAGATGTACAGTAAAAAGTTGCGGAAAACATTATTATGAATAGCATGGAAATGACTTCAGATGTCTGTTGAGTTTCACTGGGTTTATTTAGTTAAGTATTACCCGATAGACAGAGTACGGCAGGTTGTTTACCTGTTGTATGCGAGACTGTCCAGCTGCACAATCTGAAGTAGTCGCGGTGGGAATTGAACTTACAATCTAATTAGGAGTCGAATGTTGATGATTTCTTTATTTAATACTATGTCTTTATTGTGGTACGGATTCTTTAAATAGCTGTCAAACCACTATCCCATATGATGACAAATTAAAACATACATTTTTCAGACTTAATAGTAAAGGCTAACAAATTAATCGAAATACATGTAATTTAAGTTCATTACTGTCGAAGTATTCTCGAGATTATAACCTGCAAACTAAAAGTCTACTTGCACAGTTTTGATGAACTGGCCAAAGTAAATAATTATAGTTAGTGTAATGTTAGTCACAACATTATAGTTTGTCCTAAGCAGTTGCAGAATGTTCTCTCAAGTAAAGCGTTAACATTTCATCAGTCCGTTTAATTTGATATGTGTAGACTGTTTAACACCTGTAGTAATAAACACTCAGTACTTTTTTCTCATTCAGTGATAGTATGACGACTACTTTTTGTAACATTGGTGTTGGTTTCCAGGTCATATAAAGTGTAAAACGTTGCATATTGTAAGAACAAACAATCTGGCTGGTATCAATGCTTAGTTGAGAAGTTATCAATCAAATGATTATTATGAAATACTGTCATTTTAATTTGATCATTGTTTTCATAACAAGCTACTTTATGTGAAACTAGACAGGAAGTGAGGCTCAAAGTGGTTCCCTTTTCAAGAGGTAAAATTACAAACTAATCCATGTTTGATAGATAAACTCAACTAGGTAGAATGGTTTGACAATGTGTTTGCATTAACGAATTCCATGTATTATATAATTTATGTCACTTAAGTAATCGGAATTTACACATTCGAGCCATGTGATCAAAATATATCTTGTGTTTAGTTTACATTTACTGTTTCTAGAGTTCAGTACAAGTATTTATTCATGTGAAATATTTTTCAGGCATATAAAACCAACCATAAGAGTTTGACCTCTTATATTTGATCAACATCTGACGGGATAATTAATCACACCCAAATCATGTTCATTCGGTCCATCATTGATAGTTTTCCGAAAACGTGGATCATTCAAAAGAGATATCTTCCAAAGATTAAAATTCCTGAATATCTTTTAGACAGAACAGTAAAACCAGAAGAAGTTTTAAGTCGCCTTACACCTGAGGATACAGAAAGGTTGGAATTTTGTATGGCAGAATATCAAAATATGCTTGAGAAAGGTGCTGATGTTCCGAAGTCTTTAAATAAAAGGAATGTTCTGGACCTGTTGTGCTGCACCAGTCCTACATCTCGAATAAAATTTCTAAGGTTTTTGTTCAAGTGTGAGAAGCGCGATGAAAATGCTCTTATGAAAAAGTTAGAGAAGGTAGATACGCAGCATTTCAGTAAAGTCTGTTCTGTTGAATTTTTTTGTCAGTTTAACGTTTTTGTTTTCAAATGTGTGTAATACTATTCAGTGAAGTGGTGGATCTTTTATTTTTTTCTCTCGATCAACGTATTAGGATTGTTTGTATTCAATGTCGTATATGATGGCGTTGATCCGAAATACTTGGCGTGGATAAAATGTATTTCGATCATGTAATAGGAATCCGTTTTTCCTTTGAGGTTAGGATTTTTACCATTTATTGTTATGTTACTGTACGTAATGTAGAACGTGACATATATGCATTGTTTTATGTCGCCATACCACACAAACACAGCGAGATAAAATTATTCCAAGACAAATCCTAGAGTAGTATAAATGGTAACCGTACCATTAGTAGTATAAAATAAATTACGCATAGAAAACGAAGATATATATAGATTTCAGCACCCATGTTTTAGAGGAATACAAAGATTGAATGCACCTCCGCCATTACACACGATTTTTAGTTAATGTCAACCAACGTTTCTGATGATCGGTCATGATAAATGACGCGGACTTCAACCAAGTAGGTTGCACATACTACCATCAATTAGTCCATTTGTCAATGACGTTTTAGACTGGTTCATTTCTTGGTTTGTTTGTCCGTAGCATTCTTCAAGCCTTTTACACTAGGCAACATACTCCGTCAAGGTAGGCAGTAGTTAGGCGTACGCTGTAAAACTTCCTCTTGGTGCATACTTTAGTGTGTTAACTTTTTCATGTACAGGGAACGTCCTACTGATTTGTTTGCCCTAGTGAATTAAAACTTACAAGCCTAAACTCAGTCGTCCCAAAACATATGAGCGATTTTTCAAGGAAACTTTGGATCAAATACTAGTAAATTACGAATATAATCTATTCTTAATGGCAAAGTTTAACAACCACAAGACAAAACGGTTCAAACTGCTGCGCAGTAAACTTGTCGTTTGTTTGGCAGACGGATATCTCTCCTGCACCACAAATGACGCAGGTTGACAAAAGACAATCGAACTTTCTGAGTCAGTGAAGAGATTTCGTCAGACACCAAGTTATTAGTACTGATGAGAAGATGCGCTCGACCACTTCACCATACTATCAACCTTAAGTTTTATCCGTCAAGGTTTTCCACTTCCCACTTTTTTTACTTAATTATAAACATCGTTCTGGAGATTACGCTTTCATCGTCTGACTTTTCAAAGGTTAATCTTCTACTGGGAAGTTCACTTGTTGACTTAGAATATGCAAATCACACAGTCTTTTCACAGTCCTAAGCAAACATGGTAATATGTTTGGAGTGCGTTTCTCTCGATCTAAATGCAAAATTTTGCTTCAGGACTAGTCTGCACCAGAGCCTGAATTAATGATAGAGTGTAAAGTTCGAGCGTATCGAACGCTTCACTTATCTTGGAAGTCTCATCAGTACTAATAACTTGACGACTGACGAAATCTCTTCACCGATTCAGAAAGCTCGATTGGCTTTTGTCAGCTTGCGTCGTTTGTTGTGCAGGAGAGATATCCGTCTGCCAAACAAACGATGAGTTTACTGTGCGGCATTTCTCTCATCTGAATGATGTTTTGTTTAGGATGCATGCTTCCTTTGTTGATTATCAGTTACCTGATCCTAGAGTTGTCAGTCCTATGCAACCGTTGTTTATTCACTTAACTGTCAAATGAATAAAACTATCTTAACGCAGTATACAAAATCGGCATTATGAATACCTATATCCTCCGATAAATTACGAGGACGCATTTAGTCGGTCTAGGGGTATCGACTCCAGAGGTCTTTATGGATGGTGGTCCAATTTTAGCGATTAGGTTGACTAATATTTTAGCTAAAAGCTGCGAGTTGGACGTAATCCGCTCTGACTGGTCACCATAACTGATTGTCCCAATATAAAAGAACGGGTCAAAATCATCCTATGATAATCATAGAGGGATTAGTTTGACTAACATAGCATCTAAAATACTAGCCTCAATAACTGTCGTGCTCCTAACGTAGACTTGTGAACTGCAAACACGAGAAAATCAGGCTGGATTCAGACCTGGTCGCGCCTGCATCGACCACATATTCGCCATTCGTCAGATTCCATAACACAGGCATACTTACCGGCGTCCGACAATCGTGGTCTTTCTTGACTTAAAAGTAGCATTTAATTCCGTAGACTGCGAGATTCTGTGGCAGTGTCTGTCATGGAAAGGCGTACCTCAGAAGTACATAAACCTCGTGAAGGTTCTTTACTATAACACCACTAGTCGAGTCAGAGCTTATGGCGAGCTGTCATCTGTCTTTGCAACCTCAAGTGCTGTCCGTCAAGGCTGTCCACTTTCTCCATTTTTGTTTAACTTCATCATAGACCTACGTTCTCGTCGACTGAATTCTTGGGCATTGATCTCCTTCCAGAGGGTCCACTTATCGACTTAGAATACGCAGACGACATAGTCCTATTGGGTGGAGTAGCTGATAAAATACAGAGTTTTTTGGTAGCACTGAGCGACAATGCCAGAATGTTTGGAATGCGCTTCTCTCCCTCCAAATGCAAGTTGTTACTTTAAGACTGGTCTGCGTCAACACCTGAACTAAGCATAGGGAGTGAAGTAGTCGAACGCGTTGACCACTTCACTTATCTTGGAAGACTGATCAGCTTTAATAGGTTGGTGTCTGACGAAAGCTTTGCATGGATTCAGAAAACTCGTTTGACTTTTTCCAACTTACGTCACCTATGGGATATCGGTCTGTCAAATAAAAGACGAGTATACTGTGCGGCAGTTCTGTTCTATATTACGGATGCGAAACGTGGCCATTAAGAGTTGAATATACCCGCAAGCTACAGGTATTTGACCACAGATACCTTAGAAATATTGCTTTCATCTGCTGGGATCACCAGGTAAGTAATATTGGGTTAGACTCAGGGTATTAGGGAATGATGGTAAATCAGTTGATGAGGTTGTGTATCTTCATCGACTGAGATGGTTGGATCATGTGTTACGTATGCCTGAACACTGATTACCAGTGTGCGCAATGCTGACTAATGTTGGAGACGGATGGAAGATAGTTAGGGGCGTCCAATCCAAAACGTGGCATGGTAAATAAAATGACTAACTTCTGGTTTGATCTATGTTGGTAGATGCAGACTACTTGGTTGGGGTCCGCACGACTATCATAACCAATGGTTGGAAACTTTGGGTGACATGGCTGAGGATCGATCACAATGGTGAAGGTGTATACACTCTTTGTCTTCTCTTAAATTGAGATTAAAACTGCTTTATATGTTTCGTGTCTGCGACCTAATTCTTTCTCCCTGTATCATACCCTTATATGAAATTTTTTATATCTTACTACCGTTGAAGTGACTACTTCTATGAATTTGGTGTTCATTTGTGATAATGACGTGTGGTAACTTGGACTGATGCATTTATGTGCCTGGTCGTGCGCTGTATATGACTGATCGACTACTGTAATGAAGCAGTCACCGAAATTTTGTTGATTTATGGAACGGTGATGCCAAACACAAACTATGTAATGATTATGCTTAATACGAAACTGTGTTGAAATAAAAATTTGTGTAAAGTTAGATACTTTTATTCGTACATACACATACTCTATATTGAATCTTATCTTGACACTGCTTTTGTTAATTTACCACTCTTGATATGTATTCGCCAGTAATATTACTGGTTTGTAAAAAGGAATGTCTAAACCTAAAAGTAAGATTAATTTTACCAGGCATGTTTTATTTTAACATACTAGGTAACTGTTGTCTCTGACAGAACACCTGGATCTTGTGACCGTATTCTTCGAATAATTGATGACAAATGTTTCCGTTCACATTGGGATTTTTGGCAAGCTTCTGAAATACGTTGTCCCGACTCAGCTCAGCCTTTATTATTTGATTTCTCATATGAATCTGAGATGAGATTAGTTGATTTAAGGTCTCTCTCCAATCAAATGACGTATGTTCTAAACAGGAATCGTATAATGAGACCTCATCCATTCCATATGGTGCTTTGTGGTTTAAAACAAGGAACAAATCAGTTTGCTTACATGGAAGAAGCTTTTGGTGTGAATGCGAAGGTTTGTCTATTTAATTTTTTAGTCATAAGTAACCATCATAGAAACTTGTTCACGATATTAGTGAGCAGTAGTCTACACAGCTTCTTATTATTAAGCTACTTGAGGATACATTTGCGTTCTTTAATTTTCTGTTTTCAGACATTACTATTTGTAGATTTTTTTTGTATATAGTGATAATATCATGTCAATTCAGAAGTCAGACATTATATTGAAATACAATGAAGACGTTTTTCTATCACTAAGACCATCTAAAAACACCGATTTAAACAGCTTGACGCTTACGTATTATACACTATATCTGTTCATTATTTCACGACTTAGGATGAGTAGTATTTCTGAACTAGTGTTTGTAAGTGCATCCTGACTTTGGATGGTTTCCTGAAGTTCATAAAGACGAAATTCCAAATATGATTCGAAATCTCACTTATTGGTTATCCTGCCACAATTTTTCAAAAATTTATGTCAACAGTCCTGTCTGTTTTCTATCCATACAATCTCGTATTAAACAAATGTCTAACTTTCGAATTATGCTAACTAATCACTTGATTAATTGAGATGAATAATTAAGATGATTATTGATACTTTCCGTCCTATATTTGATAAACAAGCTTTCTAACTTACAGTCTTATATCTCATTCTTTTGATGTACAATATAAAGCTATCAACTATTAAAAGCTTGAACGAGCTTCCGTGGACGATCACTCCCAATCATTTTTCCCATGAATATCCTATTCATGATTTAGAACAGCCTGTTATATTGTTGTCGCCAAATGCACGTCAAACATTTGAAGCTGGTGAATATGACCATAATGCTGCTTATGTCATTGGGGCAATAGTGGATAAAGCTGTTCGGAGACCAATTTCTTCTGCAATAGCTCGACAGTTACGTAAGTATTAAGCGATTTGCATTTGGTAATTATCGAGAAAAGATCAGAGTTTATTGCGTAAGACTGAGTATTAACTTAATGGACTCATATTCTCAGCCTTTGTTCTTATATTTTTCGTATCGTGTAAATAACAAAATATAAAACTTCAGTAGACAAGTTAGGCAAGACTCGATTCCATCGAAAAAGGTGTCGTTGTGTCACTGTCTAACAGATTAAGCGATTAGCAATTCCAAGGTTCCTTTTAATTTGTTTTTCTAGGTTTCGATTTGTACCATTTATTTCCTCCTTATATTGGCTTATATCTTGCTATATTCGTAGTAATTTATTCTCAACTCTAATCTTAAATTTAGAATCTATGACTTAATATTCTGAAGTCTTTTTTTAACTTGTCCCTTGTAATCTGGAGATTCTTATTTTTTGGGTTTTGATTAGTTGCTTTGTAGGTGTTGTTTTTCTCGCTGCTCATAGTAGTGTGTATATAATAACATCGATATCTGTGTTATTTCGGAAGCATTTACGAATAATCAACTATAAAATTTCTGTTTTTTTATTGTTATATATATATATATATATATATATATATATATATATATATATACCTGGTATACTAAAGCAATAATTCCGTGCTCCATGACGAAATCCATCTTTCTACCACAGTACAATATCACTTCGTCAGAGGTTCTGAAACGTAAAGGAAACTAGTAAAAAGTACCAGCTACCAAATATTTGCAGCAAATATTGTGTAAACGATTCATATTTAAGGAAGCTTCTAGCAGTATTCATTAGTATACTACTGCATACTGTTTCGATGTGATCTATCAGATTTCGATTGTGATATGCAATCTTCCAATTGACTACTATATATATATATATATATATATATATATATATATATATATATATATATATATATATATATATATATATATATATATATTGTAGAGACTTAAGCCACCAATGACGTGTCTCACTTTTTAGAAATAAAAACCATTTCTTGACGTATCATTTAGCTGAAATTTGATTGTCACAATGTATCATACAGTCACTCCCCTGTTAGCATCCTCAAGTCAGTTGACTTGTATTCATATCGTCAAAGATTTACTTGAAAAATGGTGTATACAAAATATGTAGATATTTTTACTTTTATGATAGAGATAAGTCCTCTGAATAGCGGAAGAATAACTTTTTCCACTTTATCTATCGAATCGTATAATCTTGATTTCACTAGTATGGTTTATCTTCCCATATACATTAAACATCGGGTTGTTATTTACATTTAACCTTTTTTCTGTTTCTATACTACCGTAGTTGTGATTATTCCTTCTTTATGTTTCCCTTCGTGTACTTTATTATTATTATTTTTGGTGGTTTACACCCTCGATGTAGCTAGGTCGTTAGATAATTTGTTTATATTTTTATTGAGGAGTATTCTTGTAATAATTACATGTAAGGATTTTGTTTCTTTTCAGTCCCGTAATAATGCGCTTTATGCATTTTTGTTCTTTTTAACAACACCTGATGTCTTCAAGGCATAAAATGTGTCAGTTTACCTTTGGATCGCTATATAAAATGGGGAAGTGGCAAAAGCAAAACACTATCCATAAACTGCATTCATGCGATAATGTGTGCAGCCAAGGAAACTAATGGAGACTGGAAGAGAGCTCTACTTGAAAATATTCCTTCACGATTTTATGCTCTTCCATCAAAAGAATCTGTTGTATATAAAAGTACATAAAGCCGCATTTGTCTTTACTTATGCTTTTTGATAATACATAATCCTTCTTAATGTGTAAGTAGTCCAATTCATAGTACTTTAATAGATGTTAACGTAGCTCTAATATTGCGCAAACATATTCCAATTACTTCTGATATTCTTAAATTACGTATATGACATTATTTGTTTATAATGTATACAATACCGAGAACACTTTCATTTCATCAACTAATATCCCAGTCTTTTTTTTTACATATGAGTACCAAGTCGGATAGAAAACCATATATAGTAAATTATAATGGGTTTCGCGTAATGCATGCAATTGGTTAAGCTGTTTGAATGCATCAACGTACTGTAAAATGTGGTAGATTTAGTTGTCGTCTCTACAGTTTGTTTCAAAGCTATTCCTTGATATTGATCTGGGATCTTCGTAACTAAAGATAGTTATGTCAATTGAACGGTCTATGTTAATACGAACACCTGTCTTTACCCTTTTATTGATCGTTTAACAACCCAGAGTAGGAAAGCTACATTATTAATATGTATTATACTTGTCGGCCTGATGTTATAAAACCGTCACTTGAACTATGACATTAATTTCGTAAAATCAATGGCAAGTAAGGCTCTACTCGACTCGTGCTTTGTAGACTACCTGGAAGTAGGATATTTAGTGATTGGTTTTAAAAATTCATGTATTGAGATGTTTTCGATAACCCTTACAAGTTGATGGTAGTTTTCTTGAATTTTTTTATGTGCCAGAACACGCTAATAGCCGTAACGGTTCTAAGCTGTTCTCCAGCCACTGTATTAGTACTAACGAGTATGATTAATGTATAAGTGGCACCCTTGAAACTTTGGTAATGTAAGTTTACTAGGTCAAGACGCCTACAAATTAGGACTGCTTTTGGGATGAACACAGTTGTTTGCTACATTTACTCTATCTTCAAAATAATTGCACTTCTCGGATTTTAGTGCAAAGTCTGTCCATGTTGTTGTGTGTGATTGATATAGAGCTAGTCGTTTCAAACGTAAGTCGATTTTCGTTCCCTAATTAGAAGTTATCATGCTAACGAATTATCATCTAAGAGACCTTATGCAATAGTATGATTTGTATAATGTTCTGCTACAGTCTTTTATTATATCAGTAAGGTGTTCATACACTATTCTTGACTACTTGATTGAATCAGTTCAAGTTGCGGTCACACAAAGGTACCAGTCTGTAACACAAGTAACGTGTACACTCCTATTAGCTGAAATAGCGTTAATTTAGTTTCACAATGTCAATATTGGTCCATTAAATTAATGATAAGAATGTTAATTTAATCAAATGCGAGTTCTTCAGATTTCACTGAAACTTAAGTTTTGATTGCCTGCCCAACTGATAAGTTTGAACCTATATTCTGTCGATGGTTAAAACATTACGTGGAGTTACTCATCAACAGTAGCAAGAGTCTTATTTGTTAAACCAAAAGAGTATTACTTTTAAAAGCTATTACTCACCCATTACTTGCAACAATCAGCTCGTGGTATAGAGCCTTTTCCTTTTAAAACTGAATGATCAGGAATTTATCATTGTTTTATATGCTTACTATAACTGTCTTAATTTGTTGAAAGCACAGAGAGACCATATTACAATATTATCATACTATTTACAGTCAAATGTGTAGCCTTACATCGATATTTCCAAATATAAATTCATAAAGTTGTAGAAATAAGGAAGCATTACGGAAGTTTCTCAAGACTTAGAAAAGCAGTCATTATAAACCGCATGACAAGTTATTGATGGAAGTGTCATCCTCTCATTTTATACAAGTATTTTGTCGATGTACTGCGTCCTAAATGCAAATTGAATGTGACATAAGTTGGTGGTCAAAGTTATAGTAGAACACAAGCTTTAGATAGAGTGATGCAATATGTGGACTTTTTTTCCACTATAAAAGATTTGCATAAGTACGTGAACGTAGAACGGGTGAGGTAACATACAATGCGATAGTGGAAATAAAGTGACTAATTAAAAATTTAGCTGTTATCTTGGGAAAGTGTCATTTTTCAACATAAAGTAATTGGGTCATGATGATTACTTACATATTAAACCGCAATAGACTGAATGACCATTTTTCCGGAATAAACATTTTATTAGACTTACGCAAACTTTCCAGGAAAAATGAAGTATTTAACAAAAGTTGACTGAACTCTTCAGTTCAGGTTTAGTTTCGAGATATATAACCGTCTCACACTCCACCTTGCAAAAAAACACCTGTAGAGGTTTACAACAGTGTAAATCAGTTAAAATCATCTTTTCCAGTTAACATCTCGTTTAGTTTTGAAAGTGTATCTCTACACATATGAATCTCACTCAAAAGTGTATCTATGTTTTCGAGTTGTTCCATGAGTTCTACTATAAGCCTCTGAATTATCTCGTCATCCATGATTTCTTGTTTTTGACTTTGTGCTTCTAAATCAGCAAAAAACGTAGATACCTAAGAACAAGTTACTGTCCAGATCCTATCTGTTGTTACTTTATCGATCACAAACTGCTTACACTCAGCCATCTCTCTTCGATATGTATCGCGACATTTTTGTATTCTTTCTATTGCATCGTTTGCCTTATCTTCAATTAACTTCCTGAGCTCCTTTGTATCCATTTCCGCGCCCTCAATAGACATTGCGCAGTAAGAGGTGCAGAAGTTGAAATGTTTCCTTTTAATTGTTTAAAACAAGCACTCACTCCGTAAATGTAATTAATTTGAATAACAGTTATCATCAAAGCGACAACCTTTCATATTTCTTCCCCAATATTCAAAGGTATGACAAGTAAACTGACGATACCATTGTTAAGTCTAGACGAAACATTGAACTAAGCTGATCAACACCTTAGCAGTTCTCTACCGAGATCATTAGTCGATGTTATATGCAAAGATAGATATATGTTTATCATACAACCCTAATCATCTCTAAAACAAAAAGGATTAAATGTCTTACTTCTCACTTAAATTAACACCGAGAGATAATTATTAAATTATACATATACTTCCTAGGCTTTAAACGTTACTTACATTCTCTGTTTCTATTTTCTTAGGTGAATCTGTAGGCAGATTTTTATGTGACCTTGAACCAGTATAGTTTTCCTGAAACCAAACCAACTTATCAATCAACAAGTAATGAAATCTCTTAATCCTGAGACACTGACAACTAGAAGTTGATTTCTGTGGTAAAAATCATTATGGCATCAAAGTCAATGCGAATTACTTGATGTACACAAAAGAACTGGAGGGTTGCTTCCTTC